CACGGGCCCGCCCACTGCGCGTCGCCAATGATTTAAATCCGGTTGCTACAGCGGGCACATTCACGCAGGATTCGGTTGCTACTGTGAGTACTTTCACGCGGATTCGACTGCTGCTGACTGCCATCTCGCGTGTGTGCATTCTCACCCTTGCCAACTTGAGAACAGGAGACCAGAGAGTAAGTGAGCCAGATGCCCGAACCGACTGCGAGCAGAGGAGGCCAGATCGGCAAGGCGCATTTCAGACAGTTAAACAACGTGCACTGGATTGTTGGCGCTATTGTGCGTGCGTTTTTTCGAGCAGTTGTTTTAGAGAGAGCGGCTGCAACACTGCGTTACGACCTGCAGAATGCTGGTCTGCTTTGCTGTTGTATCACGAAGACACCAACTGACAGGGATGATAGTTTATAACCGCTCAAAATTCCGAACTCATGTTCTGCACCACTCCATAATTACCACAGTCAGCGAAAGTCTGAAGCCCAGACGACAAACCTTACATAGCACAGTTCAATGCTGGTTTCTCTGCTTTATAAAGCAGCATCCCAAGATAACGAGTACGTACTCGCTCTCCACAATTGAAGCACATGCTTAATTTTGAGCGCGAATTCATAGGTCAGTCCAGAACGGATTTTAAAAGCTCATTTCGGACCAATCAATCCGAAAGAAACACTAAATTGAACTTTTGAAATTTTAAGCACCTGGCTTTTTCTCCGTTCGTGAGTTACAGCGCCAGCAGCAGGACTGGAGACCTGAGATTAAAGCTTAAAATGCAAAAAAGCTTCGCTGCTGATTTCAAATTAGCAATCCCGGTCTGGACGCTGTTCACATCCGCTTCTTGGTCTGCGCAGCTCAATGCCCGTTCTCGACAGAATGCGTATTTTGATAATGCAAAAGTAACTGAAAATGCAATAACCTGGAGCTAGGGGAGCTGAAAAGAGCTAATTAGCTCAGCCGTGTTAAGTTGTGCACAAAAACTTGGATGTTTGTTTTGCCAGAAAACAAGTGCTAACGGAAAACGAAAAACTTTGCCATTGTAAGAAAATAATTCGCCAATTGCCAAATTAGCCAGCGAAGCCAAATAGGACAGCCTACCTTTTCTAAATTCTAGTTAGACCAGTGAACAAGATGTTGATGAGACTGTGATACCACTGGGAGAAACGGAATATGTGCGAAAGCACTGCGAAAATACAGCGGAGTGAAGACGTTTCGGCCCATTAACGAAAACGGCTCTCTAGATCAGCAGTAGATGAAAAATATCCAGAGTGCATCATCTAGACAAATCCGGTCGAGCTTCGCGAAGATAAAGATATTCAGCGTGTGCTGGAACTGTAAGAACAACTGACGCAAGCAATGGCATAAAATTTCATACAAAACCATTCAGCGTGGGCGACTGAGGGTGAGTTTTCCGATAGAAAATGATTTTTCCAAACAAAAATTGATACAATCCGCAGACTCTTTCCCTGACGAGCACTCAAAAAATAATTTTTTAGGCATTCATTCTTGCAACGAATGGACTAAAACAAGCCTTCTCGCATTATTTCGTCCGCTGATGTTTGCTGTGTGAAATGCTGTTTTTGGAAACAAACTTTCCTTTCCAAAAAAAACCAGGATTGAAAGGATACGGTTCACAAATCCATTTGCTACAGCTACTTACCACAGAAAG